ATTAAACAACATTATGATGTGAGCAAGATGTTTTGGCAGAGAGCCTGGTGCTACCTTCTGTCACAACCCGCCCACCAACCCATAGACCAGCCAGGTCATTAACTGAATACAGTTGACACTCTAGTACAGTAATCAAGAGACTCTTCATATGAGAATGATTCCTCTGGGTCATTATTAGTCCATTAGATAATTAGCTTGCTCCAGCAGACATTAGCGAGCAGCATGACTGGACTGCAACTGACATCGGCTCGTTGTAAATATGACAACATCACAAATCGCCTTATTGGAAAATCTTTAAGTCACACAGAAACAATAAGTTCTGAAATGAGCAGTGGAGTGGTTTCCCCCCCACCCCCACTGACACACACACCCACACACACGATTATCCTCTAGTTAGGTCGATACTTTCACATGCTCATGCATCACATGTATAACTGCTCACATGGTCATGTAAGCATCTAAACACGTGCAATTTCACCTGCATGAACACACTTATACCTATTACACTTCCACTTTTAGCATGACTCCCTTTCAACCTTTATGATTGTGCGTGTATGAGGGGGAGTAGTCAGGCTGTTGAAAGACGCCGAGCTGGTGGACCAGAAGCCTCCTGGTTCAATAACCTAAAAGGAGACACCGCTGTGAAACGTATGCATTCAGCTGCGTACAGGAGAAACAGGTAAACAACTCCCTCAGGGTGAGGTATGGATCTGCAACAACAAAGAGAACAAAGCTACCTTGCTGCTGTGACTGTACATCTTTAAAACCTGCTGTAATGTACTTTCTAGCCTCAGTTTTAATAAAAGCTACTTCACACTAGCAAAAGGCAATGATGAATGAAAGTTTGAGTAACAAAAAAAAAGGGGGGGGGGCAGAAAATCTGAAGACAGAGTGCTCTGTGCAGGTGCTCATGCCTGCGCGCCCCTCTCTTCGCTGCATTGTTGCACCGTTGGCATGCAAGCGAGAAATAAAGCGAGGTCAGTTTCCATTATGCACAGCAGCATAATCCCCGCTTGTGTAATTCCCTTTTAAAAAGCCTCCTTCTGGTGTTTCCCTGAAGTTGACAAACCCACATTCCAACGTGGACTGGCTGCTACACACTGGCAGATTTACCCCTTATGTTGCCGCCAAATTTTCTGCCTCCCCCCAAAAAAAGAAAATGGTCCATTCTCGTGCTTCAAATCCTGCCTTTTGTTTTCGCCAACAGAAGAAGTCCCAATCTACTCACTAATAAATATTTACACCGAATCAAAAATGCAGCTTTTCCAGGGTGATGACACTTCCACTCTGGACCAGAGTAACCCACAGCTCTCCCTCTCCCACGCCACTTCTCATGCTGAACATGCAACATGTGCAGCCCCTGTCCATGAGCAGATTAGGGCCATATCTAAAACCACTACAATCAAATCCCGTCGGATTAATCCATAGTACAAACCAAGCCATACTAAAACCTTTGCTTTGTTGTTCACTTCTACTTTTTCTTTTGCCCTGCCATCTACTTCTAAACAGGCCAATTACACCACTTTAGTGCGAGATTTCAATATATGGTATTAGCTGCATCTTTATTAAAAGCAAATTATTCCTCCTACACAACATTAGCCACAGTGCTCTGCCCCCTCTTCAATTTTCTGTGCTCTGCAGTTGGTCCCACATGGGGGGGGGGGTTACATACGAGAGAGTATAAATCTAATATTCTGTGTCCCCAAGTACACCTCATGTATCTGATCACACTCCTCACACAGCCTGGAAGAGCTCAAAACATTTCAATTCTGAAATGAAAACAACTTTTGTTCCAAAGTTGCTGCAAATTTAGGTGAGAAAGTGAGCAAAATGTTCCATTTCAATGGGATCGCTATACGGGAAATGCATCTCAAGGGGTGGTATGCCTCAAGGTCTGCATGTGACTGAAGAGTATTCAGAGGTTATATCAGCCCTTTGTATTGTTATTTAGTCCTTTGTGGATCACAGGCATGCATTGTAATCAAGCAGGAGCATAAAAAAACAGTTTGGACAGCACCTTGTGCTTTCCAGGAGTTATTATGGCCAATAAATGAGGCACTTATGATGAATGGCTGCCTTAGCAGCACAAGTCTACGGACAAGCACGACAACGTTAGCACACTGTGAACCCAGAGCAGGGCTCCCTTGCTGATCAGAAATAATGATGAGGAAAAAAGCAGAGACCAAAGCTGGCCAAGTGTAATCTATGCAGCCCACAAACAGCAGCTTAATTAAAACAGAGCTTCAGATGTTGCACATACTCAGCATAAAACAAAAAGCCTCCAATAATAATTCTCATCCAATCGAGCCTGGCCCATCCACGGTTAGTGCCTTCCCCAGGAGGGCTGCACGCCCAGTGCCATCACTGCTCCACTGCTGGATCATCACAAACATGAGCCTGAGTTGTAGGAACCCTGTGGTCAACTCATCTAAAAGATTAGGTCCCTCACAATAAACCAAGACAACTATTCAGCTTTTGAGAAATGTTAGATGGTAAACAAGTTATCACAGTTATAAGATTGTGCTTTTTCCACAGACCATCAGCAGCTTATTCTGATTCACACTTCCTCATGTCCCATATGGGATCAGTAGGAAGAATTCCCCCTGACATGTCCAACATGAACAAGTTAAATGCAGTCATTCAAAAGCTCAGTCACCAACCACCTTTCTTTAACAAGAATACTTTCACCCAACAAACAATACAACTTTAGTTTACCAAGACACATTTGTTTGCATTGATTATAAGGTCTGAAGCATTTCTGTTTGTTAGATACATGTTAACCTCAGGCAGGTCCTTATGAAGTTAGCAATAAGAGCTAATCCGGGAGGCTCATTCCTGGGTTTAGTGTTGGTCACACTCAAAGACAAGTGTTTCAAATGACATATGCAAGACTCACAATTTGTTTTTGGAAAGCTTGGGTTGCTTGCCTCAGTATGTGTTGATTTGCCAGAAGTGTGTGTTTGTTGAATCTTTACATACAGAGTTAGATCAGCTCTTCTACAATTAAGTGCCATTTTCTTGACACTAATGCAGTAATTTAACTTATTCTGTCTCATTTGAAAAAGAATGACCCACATTTCTATATAAAATTATAAAACATATGAAACTCCTCTAAGAACAAGTACAATTAGACGTTTTTTTTAAATTATTATTTGGCCTTGAAGCACTAACTGACTTGTTAAAGAGCTATTTTTGCAGCATTAAATATCTTGTACAAAGGATTATTCACAAGACCAAGAAAGAACAAAGAGTCATATGATCAGCACACACTGACGAAGCACAGTGGTGGGGATAAGAGAAAGGAGGACTACAGCCAGGGAGAAATTTGTGGAATGTGAAGTACAGTCTGGTGCCTCCGGTGCGCGGAAGACATTTCAATGGGAGAAAAAAAAAAGAAGGTAATCCTGGAGGATTAGGAAGGAAAAACTTCAAGCACATAATCTTGTCATTTGGCACTCATTTCAATAGGACCCCGCTGTGACTGTGAAAAATCTAACATTGGAAATGGTCACAATGGCTTAAAGTCAGTGGTGTAAAAATGTTTGTTTGCTTGTTTATATATATATATATATAAAATAGCAGGTTACAGCACCAGTGATTCACTAATCCCCGAGGGATTCTGCCTGCTGTGACCAGTAATGAAGCAACAGCCAGTTAGTCCTTACTGGGTCACTTGTGATGCTGCAAAAAACGGTGCATTTTCAAATTGCTTCCTAAATTGTCTGTCCCCTGTGTGCTAGTTAAATACAAATAGCAACACAAATCCCTATATGTAGTTGCATCCCATTTAAGCAAAATAATTATTCCCAGGGATTAAAAACCCTCTTTTAACCGGTCTCCTTTTCATCTGAATTTTTACTTTTTAAAATGGTAAGAGCAGGTAAAGTCCATAAATGGCCTAATGGGACTAAACCTCGAATCCTGGCAGATTTATTGCCATGATGGTCACAGAAAGCTCAAGTGAACCAGTGGTGGTAAAGAAAAATCAAGTCTGGACTTAGGCAATTCAAATGACATGGAAATGAAAACCAAGACAAACGACTTGTCTTGACACTGCTGCCAGTACTTGTATACCATTTAAAATCAATCATTTCATTTAATAAAAAGGGGAAAAAAAGCTAAAAAAAAGCTTTTTGTAGCCTGATGCGGACGTCAGCAGCATCAGTGGAACTGTCAGCATATGGTATAACTAATTATAGAGAATGCTGCTTCCTTTAAGTGTACCAAAGATGCTGTAACATAATCAATATCTGACCCTTTTATAGCCCTTTCAGTTCCTTTTACAGCGCAAGTGATCTAAACTGAGTCAGAACAATAGAGGCCCAACAAGGAGGTACTTTATAGAAGCATAAGCAACTCAAAAGCTCCACAATCATTGGCTGTTATTGGGAGAGTTTTTCCAAAAATCTTACAGATTTACTGTTTCAAAAAAAAAAAAAAAAAAAAAGTATTATTTGACGGCTTGGGGCATGATCGCCTCATACTATTATCAAACAGTTGCTTGATTTTACATCCTGCATACACGGAGCAACATTAACATTTATTTGCACTCATGTTTCTGTTCACCTGGCGAATATATTCAAATATTCACTTTTATATCAGCTCATTTTGTTCTCCAAAAGCTTCTGAGAGAAATATCTGGCTCTAAATGCTCCACTATGTTCATCAGCTAGTCAATAACTTTGTCTGCTATTCAGTGCTGTGCAGATAGTGGGGGTTTTCCCAGGGTGTTTTTAGCTGAAAAGAAACTGCCTGGAGAGGTGATTGATGAGTGGTTACAATGAAAGAAAAAAAAAAAGTTCCATTGTGAAAGCAAACAACAACAACAACAACAACAACAACAGACAGAAAGACGCCAAAACGCTCTGTGGAGCTGAGGAAAACTGCAGAGTTGGGTGATAATTCCCTGTGAGCAACCTCTTTTCACATTAGTCATTTAATCCCTTGTTAATAAAAACAAAAGTTGTTTAGTGCAGCCTTAATCTCATAGAGCAGCATACCTGGCGCTGAACAGTTCTTCTGCTCTGTTTCATTGTCTGGTACTGAAGCCATTAGTCGTCTTCCCCAGTGTTCAGCGTCCGGATGTCCCTCCACCAACATCCCATGGCCTGCAACAGAAAATCAAACAGTTTTACTTATTATACATTAAACATAAATATGAATCTAAGCTTGTAGTTAAAGCATGCAAGTATACTGTTGGAGGTTAATAGATCTCCTGGAATGATTCTACAAGCGTTTTCTTTCGATCTAGGGGACCCCTGAAACTCCATTTTGCATATTTTTAAAATAGCAATCAAAACCAACATGGCCGCTATTGTAAGACTATGTTTCACGAGCAGAAACATCCATGATCACGGCCATTAATCCAAACAAGGTTGATTTCCTTTAATCCCTTAAAAGTTTTTCGCTTATGTAGCTATGACGTTTTCATCTGGCAGCAAAAATAACTCATCAACATGCAGCTGCTGTGCCATTATGTTTTGGGCAGGCAGAGTGGGAGGAGGAGCATACAAAGTTTCATTTTTCATTAAACTGCTCTTAAGCCTCTGTAATGAGGACATAAAAAAACTGCAGTCTCAAAACCATTATGTAAAATCATGGCAGCGAGCTGAGCAGCGCTTTAAACTTGAGATTTTTGTAAAATGTCACCATACAAATGCAAAAAAAAAAAAACTGTTGAACTGAGCAACTTGGGCAGGATGATTAAGAGTATCAGTGGATACATGGTTACGAGCAGATCACTAGGGAATACACTGAACACAGTCTGTGTCTGATTCATACCCGAGTTGTTCATCATCAGACTGGATTTTAGCTGTAGCTTACACAATGCCTGGGAAAGATTTTCTATGCAGCAGAAGATTTCAGTGTATGTAAATCTCTCCCTGACCATGTGACTGTCTCAATGTGTGGCCACTCAGTCTCAGGAGGCTAATTCCCCTTCTGGCAATTACTTTGAGGAAGCAACGGTTGAGAGAAAGGACACAACTGCTACTTTAAGTGTAACAAATTGAAGAACACTGACCTAAAAACAATCTAGAAACGACAGTGGCCGTAAAAAAGATGTAAAAGGCCCCATCTAGAGCCAGAGTTTGGTTGGTCCATTCTGGGCTACTGCAGAAACATCTGAAGAGGTCAAAACTGCATCAACACTTGTATATAGACACGTTAGTCTAACAATAAAGTTGTTCTATATACTACTAAGTTTTGACCTCTTCAGACTTTTCCCCCCTTTCCATGCACCTTGGAAGTGGGTGAAGTTGTAACAGAAACTCTGCGTCAACTGTAAAAACTTGGCGGTTTCAACATGGTGGACACTGTGGAAGAGGACCTGTTCTCTCTGTAGATACAAGCGGCTCATTCTAAGGCAACGAAAACGCAACAATTCTTATTTTCAGGTGATTAAACACCAATGAAAGCATACTTATGATTATTATATTCCAATTCTGCCAACAGATTCTCTTTAATGTTACACACTGGACCTTTACGGCAATAATATTTTTTTTGTTTGCTTGAGGGCAGTATCATTCCGACTACTAAATATTGTGTGTGAAAAACATAAAAAACCCAAGAGCTTTCCCACATCGCAGATTAAAATATGTAGTTTTAGGCCCTGTTGCTGTTTGGTTCTCTCCCACCTCCACCGGTAACACACTTCTGAAGAAATCTACCTGGATCAAATGGTGTTCTTGATGTACTGACACTAAAGTCTTCATTAGAAAGGCTTTCAATCCAGTATAGTTAGACAGCCTGATGATCAGCAGGCGCTGGACAAACAGACTGTAAACAAGGCGACTGCAGCTGCTTCCCACAGCTCTCCAATCCAAAAGACCAAACCCTCCAGTCATCGTTCCAACCTGTTTCTCCTCACTAAACAACCCAGTTTCACTCTAGCAATGCGAACAATAAAAACACTGTCCAATTTAATGCCAGGGGAACAACATGGATGCCAATTTGCAAAACACAACATGCATGTGGTGCAGCGTGCCAGGAGATGATCACTTTTGTCATACTCTGTAGGGCACATGAGCTGATCTTTCACGTTGACACAACTAAAAACGGTTTGGACATAGTGGATTATTTTAGGTTTTGGAAAATTATGCATGACAGTGCGTCTAAATGCAATTTCTCCAGTTTGTACAATCACTTGACCAGAACAATGAAATCTGGTGGAAAACTAAAACAAGGCATGGCGAATGTCATGTGCATGAAGACGGGCTTTGTTCGTTGTGCTGCGGTCTGTCTGCTGAGCATCTGACGGGAAGAACAATAAACATGTGATTCTGTCAGGACTTCTAGGAAGGCTGGGGGTAAGAGAAGGGCTGCAGTCTCTTTTGGACTTGACTCACTTTGATTAATTGTCTTATTCTTCATGTTCAGTGACCAGTGTTTTGGTAAGATCTTGATTACCCAAATCAAACCCCTGTTAGTTTGTCAGCAGGAAATCTCAAAGACCTTGACATTTTCAGTGGAATTGGTGGAAAGGAAACTTGAGCCAAGAATTATTTGATTTGCCTTTGTGGCGATACACATTTTACAGTTTAAATGAGAAATATTAAACATTTCTTCTATGTTTACTGGGGTCAAAATTTAGTGCATCTTTAGTGGCTGGTAGCTGCAACTACTGGTATAGTAGATGCAACAATTAATCAATTATTAACTGTGAAAATGCCAAATAGTGTGTAGTTCTGTAATTCTAGCCTCATAAAAGTGAGTATTTGCTGTTTTCTTAGTGTTCTCTGATGATAATTGACATTTTATGGACCAAATGAAAAAAAATATTTTCTCAATTGCTCAGAACTGGTGGACATTTACATTCCTTACTTTATAGATACGCACATCTTACATGTGTTACACTATCTTCGTTTCCACCACATGATCTTTCCCCAGGAACTAGAAACCTTTGGAACCATGCAGGGTCTAAATTAAGTACCAGGAACATTATTTTACCCCCCCTGAAAAGTCCCTGCTGGGTGGTAGTACTACAGGAACTTTGGGTGTTGGGTTTGCAGTGATGACCATTTCTGATAGATTGAGTACAGCCTTTAAAATTTCAGCCACCACTTTTACAAATCTGAAGCTGCGAAGCAGACTAATTTGCCTAATCTTCCTAAGACCGCGGTGGAAAGGCTGATAAGCTGAAAGAACCTTGAAAAATAGTGCCGGGACTAAAAAGTTACTTTGGTACTTTGGGTGGAAACGCAGGTACTGTTTGGTATACAAATAGCACCCACTCTAACCTGAAATTCTGATAACTACAGTGCAAAGAAAAGAGACACTAAATACACTTGCTACTTTCAAGCAGAAACAAAGAAATTAGCTCAAATGGGATAAAAGAATAAAGAGGGAGACAAGAGTGTGCTAGCAACAATAGCACAGTGGTAATGTCATCCTCCTCGTCTGTTCCATCAGCTCAGCGGGGAGATGGACCAAGGACAACCATCCATCAATCTTTCTGTGCTCTCCCTATATGATTATTCACCTTCCTGTTGCCAAAAACATAAACAGCCCCCAGCCATCACGGTCAGCCTGCTGCAGCTACCTGTGTGTGCTGAGCCCTGTCCTGCTTCTCACAAAAACAAAAAAAAACACCTGTTCTAGTCCCCCATGTGGAGCTCCATTACACCCACACCAACACACCCACACACACACACACACACACGCAGCCCCAATCAGCATGCACGACAGCATGTTGCGCCCCACCCCTCTTTATGGAGATGTAACCCTGGAGTAGTACATCAAATCCCATCCATCTGGACCGTTCAGCACGTCAACACTCCCCCCACACTGCTATCAATCAAACGTGTGGCAAACAGGGCACAGGTTTTACTGTGACATGGCAAACACTTGTTCCCGTTCTGATGGCTGAAAGATGAGAAGGCCACAGCTATTCAATTAGGCAGATCTGATTATGGAGAGCTTTGGGTCTCATGGGTTTGGGGGAGGGGGGGGGATTTCTGGTTCTCTCACATCAAACACTTCTCATGCATGTCACCTTGAAATCCCACTATCGCCCACCACAGCTGCTGGTGGTCAAAATTCACGAGAAACGCCTTCTGTCAAATACCTCCACATGACAGTCATTGTGTGGGTCAGGCGAACTTGATTAAGTGAAAAAAAAAAAAAAAAACGCCAAGCCATTAGTGACAGAGGGGGGGCTTACTTTGGCTCCCATTGCCTGCCTTTGGAGATAAGAGATTTGCACTCGCCTGTATGATATCATTCCAGAATAATCTTTTAAGCCTCTTGTTGTTTTTAATGTAATTAATAAAACTCTTGATACATCCGTTAGAGATCTATGGTCAGGCAGTAGTTGTGGTGAATTTACCACTGCTTTCAGCCCTGGGGCCTAAGTGGTTGCAGATGGACAGATCCCAGGACAGGGTCTGGGGATGAGGCTTAAGGTTGGAAGCACTTTGAGGGTGAAAAAAACAAACAAAAAAAAAAAAAGACCTCCTCCTCTTTTATGCCCACATGGGGAAAAAAAGAAATCAGATTCAGATGCAGCAGCAAGTCTGTCCCACACTAAAAAAGGTTTCAGTTGGCACCCAACATGTTTCTTATTGATCCCTTCATATGAACTGTCCTAGGGGTGTGTTTTATAGAGTTAACCTCTGATACCAGGGGTGTGACAGATATCATTCTCCACTGACTAAATGTCAAGGTTGCTCCTTAGATTACATAACTTTTTTTGTGTGTGTGTGTGTGGCACTGTGGGATGTGTTTGCACGGGCCTGAGGTAAGAGTTTTGACATGTGTGCATGGGAGGGTATGTTGTTTGCAGTGTGTGTATGTGCCTGCATGTGGGCATCACACGCATCACGCATGATCAGCCATCTGAGTCGTTTGCTCAGCGCACACCTCAGGCATCAGCTATGAATATTGCAACATTCAAGCAAAAGCATCCCAGTGTTTACCCCCCCTAAATGATCGTCGGTGGCCTCTGCGTAAAAATCAGCATCCCTCGATGGCCATGCAGAACCTGGAAGCGTGCTGATGTTCGAGAGTGATTGAGGTGATCCAGTGTGTGCAATGGTGTGTGAAGCCCCGGGCCAAGACGCGATGATAGCCAGCATTAAACCACGCATCCTTAGCTCCGGTGTTGGGTGACCGACGATGCGCCTGGTGCAACCCCCCCCCAAAAAAAGACAAATGCACCGCGCAAACACACCAGAACCAAAAATTGTGTTTCCAACCTGGGCTCGGTTACTTGATCGCTGTGTGCATGTGCAACACGAAAGTGTGCGTGAGCCGCGATTATGAGCCTTCCTTGCAAATTAAAAAAAAAAAAAAAAAAAAAAGAACGTGCCGCTGCCACGGCGCGCACACTGCGGCATATACGGACAAACAGACTCCCAACACTGAGATATTAAAAAAAGAAATGCTGTGACCTGACATTAACATGTGCAGCTGACTTTTTCTACAGAGTGTGATGGTGGATCTTGTTCCATTTACTGATATTTTAATTCAAAACTACACACTAAAATATGTAGAAAACCCACAAGGAGCAGCAGCACAGCGTAAGCAATTTGGACAGGGAGACGGACCTGCTCCTGTCTGACAATACAAACGAATATTACGTTAACGCTTTGATCCCATGCCCTTGACATTAAAGCGTATTGGTCCGTTTCTGTGATCGCTGAGAGCTAGCTCTCTAAATTACAATTAACTAATGTGTGTGTGTGTGTGTGCATGATTTCACTGCAGATTTCTGAGCCGCTGATGCTCCGTCCTCAGCTCCCCCGTGCCCCGGTGCATCTCAGCAGTCCCCCCCCTCCACCCCACTCACCTGTCTTGGTCAACAGCGCCGACATGCTCCACGCCACGAAGAGGACACTGCAGATAAAGCACACCTGAACGAAAAGCATCTCCCTCCTCTTGCGAACTTTGAATATCTTCGCAATGATTGTCTTTTTGGACGCGCTCACGGTGTCGGTGTCGTCCCGCTCCATGCTTCGCAGCTCGGCCCGGCGGCCACTTTTTGTTGCGTCCTTGAGAGCCGAAGAAACTGCCGCCCCGCTTGCCTCTTCTCACACGGAACACAGCCGGGATGTGGTCCTCATTTCAAGCCGTCCAGGGCGCAGATGAAGAGTAGTGAAGCGGACAGTTCCCCCCCCTCTTCCTCCTCCTCCTCCTGGTCCTCTTTCTTCTTCTTCTTCTTCTTCTTCTTCTTGCCGCTAAGAAGATGCTTTCCAGCTGCCGGGACTGGTAGACTGGGCAATGACACGGCGGTCAAATTCCGATATAGGTCTCCAAATCAATTCAGCGATGCTCCTGAGTTCGGATTCTGCAGGAGGAAGAGTATCGGACGGGCTCCCGTTGCAACACACATCCTGTCCCGTGGAGAAAAAAAAAACAAAACAAAACAACATATATCAGCTGCAATATATCCTCTTATCCGCGTAGTTTCTGCGTTTGGCATCAAAATGCGTCAGTGTCCGGTCATAAACGCGGGGATCGCTCGGCTCCACGCACCTGCGCCTAAGTGAAACCAATCTGTGTTCATCAAGGTTAATTGTTAAATTCGGACAGCAGTCGTGCCCGCTCGCCTCGCTCGGGCGCCTCCCCCTTCACACGAATCCCTCCTCAGTGCAGAAAAAGCCGTGCTGATGAGAGAGGACCATCAGCTGCTCTCTCCTCACCGTGCGCTCCCCCGATGAGACCGGGCCCCTTTAACTTTCCCGAGGACTGCATGTGCAAGCAGCCACTGAAAAAGAAACCATCCTTCTTCTTCTATCTATCTATCTCTCCACTGTCTGCCTTCAAACCCTGTTCGGACAGCCGCTCATCGATCGCTCTGGAGTCTGGGAGAAAAAAAAAACCTTTCACGTTATTTTGCGCGTCGCCGTGAGATCAAACGTGTAGGGTTGGATTTGCGCGACGAGGCAAAGCCCTATCGTGCTACTCAAAAACGAGCCCAACACACCCACCGGTGCCGTGTTATGAAACCCAAATCCAATATCTTTCTGGGTCCCGAGCACAGCCCCCTTTTTAATAACTGGCCTACAACTCACCTGCTATCCTCATTTTGATATCATGCTGAATAATTGAGGTTATAGATCTCTAGGCTCACGGGCATCAGTGCCTACTCCCTCCCCGCCACAAATCTACAAGCATGAAATAATTTCTCATTGCCTGAAGTTTTTTTTTTTTTTGCCAACCTTATAATGCGTTTATATGCGTTCTGCCCTTCAGAAAATTGTTTCACACAAACAGAGCTGTTGGACCTGTATATACTAGAAATGATAAATGTAATGGGGACCTGTCTGTCAGCGTGGAAGTAGTAAATTAAATGTGGGTAAATTATGTCCTGCAGTCGGTGACCATTATAAGCCAAACAATTACCATTATAAGGGGGGTAAAATCAATTGCACCCTCAGAAAAGCATTAATATGGAAAAGCCTCACTTCACTTTTATGTGTCATATGAATTTAATGAATAAGTCAGCTAAAAATGCTGAGTCGGACTGGATTTAGCCTCCACTACACCCCTAATTAGTGTTTTATGGTTGGCAGCCTTGCAAATGTGTCACCCATGCAGGCCAACTGAGGACTCCTGCAGAGTCCTGCAGACTCCATGGCATGTGATTGGTGAAGGTCAGGTGTCATTGCTCACCTATTATTTGGCTCAGCTCTTGCCACCTGTAGCTGCCCCTTCCTTAATGATTGTTCCTGATGTGTTACAGGCAGGTAATTGGACACTTTTATTCCCCGCACTCCCAAATGTACATGGTACAGAAAGATCAATATGTGAATACATGGTTGATATAAGAAGCCAGTTATGAGAGTCAAATCAAATCTAATTTAATGTCATGGTTGGACAACAAACAGTGAATATTCCCAAGATATTATCTCTTGTATCCATTTTTCTTGCACAGTTTCCTCCCACAATATAGAAGAGTGAGATTCAAAGCTGTTTGTTTGAAACTTTTGCTAATAGATTCAACTTTACAGCAGCGGTGGTAAGAAAAGCCCTGTCGCTTTGCTGTTTTCCCTAATGCAGATCCCCTCTGTTATTACCCAGCTGTATTTATAGGAATAATTAAGTCTCTTCCCATTGTTGAACTTTTTAATAGTTGAATTAAAAGCAGATGATGTTATGAGAGTTATTAAGAGTTAGATGAGAACATTAATATACAACTCATATGGGTCACCTCAAATATAAGTCAGAGGTCAGTTAGCTTAGCTCAGCATTAAGACTGGAAACGTGGGGAAACAACCAGCCTGGCTCCGTCCAAAGGTAACAAAATCCACAGATGAGCACCTCTAAAGCTTATTTGTTTAATCTGCACAAAAACACAAGCGTAATAATGACAACTTCTCATATGACAGGGGTTTATGCGCCGGATCTTCTTTCTAAACACGATATTGTTTTATTTTGTGAGCTTTATAGATGCAGATTTTAGACAGAGTGAGAGAGAGTTTTGGATAGAGCTAGCTGTGTCCCTGCTTACAGTCTTTGCACTCAATCAGCTCCTTACTGTAGCATCATTTTTAAAGGACAGGCACGAGAGAGGTATTGATCTTTTCATCTAATTCTCAAAAATAAAATGTCAAAAAATGTTAAACCATTCCTTTAACATTTGCAATTTTGTCTTGAAATTACAAACCGTACGCACATGTGTTGGAAGGCTGCAGAGCAGAGGCTGCTCTTGCTGCCTCCAGGCCTGCTGCGGGTCACCTTAACTGCCAAGACAACAGACAGGAAAGCTGCGTTGCCCTTGTAGCCATCTACACATATAGGTTGACAAGGCTGAAACAGCACGTCAACTGTTAGAGCCGCCACTGCTGCCCGGCACAAACCGAGCAGCATGTAAAGGTCAAAGGCCTTTCACTCCGACGCAATCTCCTGCAGACCAAGGTTACATAAGACCCGGACTGTCCCTGTTGGTACAGTACGAGGCAGACCTCCAAAAACATTACCCGTCATCTCTAAGGAGCAGCCAAGATTTTGTGTGAAGGCTGCTAGTTAAGCATGAAAGGCGTTGCAGGTTATTAGTCAGGGCTTTCTGAATCTGTCGCCAGGTCTTGTCTTTATCCTGCAGCTTCGGTCTTCACACACACAAACACACAAACACATCAACATGTGTGACCCGTGCCTATGCCAAGGGATTAGTCCCCACCAGGCCCCTGCCCACACAGCAGGCAGGCAATTGGGAAGCAATGCCAGGGCCTGCTTACAGAGATTTAGCCACTGCTTTACACTCCGTGACTTGGTCAAACATACACACATGGCCTCCTTTGCCGTCTGCGGGACCCAGTGAATGGCCGTTGATTCGCAGCAGAGACAATAATGTGTGGGAACTGTGGTTTTCTCTGCAGAGAGACAGCGAGAGATAGGCTTTGTAGGAATGTTTTAATGTGGGCAGATGTCAAAAGGAGCAGTCAGTGTAATGTAAATGTGTTGTTTGATATAAATGTCAAACATGTGTCATGTCCTTGCACTGCAGATCACTAATGAGTTGATGTCAAGGGTGTTAACAATGAACTGTGTGAGTGTTGCACAACAATGGCCGTTTGACTCAGCACTGCGCATTTCAGCTTCCAACTCCATTATTCCAGCCATGATTCATGTGGTTTATTCACTGGTTTAATACAGTGATTAAGATCCAGTCTTTCAAGGGTCGTGTAAGTTTACGTAATGTTTTTGTAATTGTGGAGACATTTTTTCAATGCAAAATGTATATGCAGGCTGTTGAATGTACAGATTGTATGTCTGAATGCTGCTGGATGTTGCAATAGTTATGTGCAGAATGTAGCTGAGTAACTGCTCTGTGTCACTAGATAGTGGATGATTATCAGCAAATATTTGTGATACAGTAATGTCACATAACTACAGCATGGTGAGGCAAGGATGTGCACATGGTTGTGCTGAAGTTGCCCGAGCAAAAAGGAACAATAAAAGATTGTTTTTATTTTTGCTGTTGTGGCTGTATACAAGTAATATACAAGTAATTGCTAAAGTTCGGCCAAATGAAATTGGTATATAATCCAAATATATTATTATATAAATATATTTTTTGTCTTTGACTGTGGCCGTTCCCCAATTTAAATTTGGACCCAAACCATGAACTTTCCCTAAACCTAACCAAACCTCATCCTTGGTACAGGCAAATAACGACAGTGGCGCCAGATCAGAAAGCGCTTTGTGCCGTTCAACAGGGCAGTTACAAACATCTTTTTTTTGTTGTTTTTATGTGGAGGACTTGTAGTAAATTGACCTTGTAATGAACCTGTCCTGTTCTTGTTTTGTCTCTTAGTTCAGATTAGAGAATATTTTTCTAAGTTTAAGCCTTTAAGAACTTTGAATAACATTTTGAAAACTCTGATATAACCGAGTATGGCTTCAAATTTTCTGTTTAGATGATACAAAGAGAAAAAAAAGGGCAGTAGGAATACAATATGTCCTTTTGGGGGTGTTTGCACAGTGCTGGGATAACCCATGAATAAGTGGGGCTGCTTCTGCTGAGGTGCGTTTATGGTGGATGGAGATGACAAGATGACACTGAGCCGAAATAAGGAAGCGTGACACCATCCATTAATGCGCCGCTGGCATCGTTCAACTAATATTTTACTAATTATTGGAAGCAAGTTAACAGATGGATAGAGATATATCTCCAGCTCTGTACCCTTAACGGTTGGTACTAACAGTACCGTACAAGCTTGGCCTACATGCATGCCCACTTACACCCACGACTGACACTAACAGCACAGTACACAGCTTGGTCTACATGCACACACACACACACACACACACACACACACACACACACACACACACACACACACACACACACACACACACAGGAAGTGTCTCTGGAGACCTGCTGATTTTACTCCTTGCATAAGCTCCTCAGTGAGCTGCAGGAAAAATAAAATATTAATCAGAAGTGTTGAGCATTCTGTGGCAGCACTGCAGGTTTATTTGTATGCCTGCTCAGGTGTGAAGAGTAAACAGGGCAGAGAAGAGCAACAGAGAGTCTAATCTGTGTATTCTGGAGGTAGAAGTCATCTCATGCACTGCTCCCTTCATCTTTCCAGGACATGAAAACTCCCCCATACAGCTGTCGACAACATAAGGCAACTCAGTCAACCCCCAGACAGCCAACATCAGTACCAAATCTTAGGATTCATACAGTGCTTTGTATACTGTAACAAAATAAAATACAGGCTCCATAAAAAGTCAATTGATTGTTGTATTTATGTTTCATTGCTGCTGACTCTGATTTATTTCTTTATCTCTCAAAAATACTCAGTTTCATAACACATTATAAGTGCCAGAGTGGTGTACAGTAGGCGGCTTCTAACTTACTTTACTGGAGAGAAAAAAACGTACATGTTTGGCATATTAATTCAGTGGCTACATGGGGCGGACAGAATGCGATGTACTGTATATTATACAACCTACAGTTGCAATAGATGGCACCTTGGTTAAGCTTATCTTGTATCTCTTGGTAATGCATGCTGTGTTCATGCTCTTTTGTTCACCCTCTTTACATTACATGTGGATTTAATAACAGTGAATAGTTACTACTATTACTTTTGGTACTGTAAAAAATATTTTACTTTTATGTTAATTATTCTGCAACTTACTTCTTTTTCATTATTTTGGTGATAAACTCAGTTCTACCAAATCTTCTTCTCAGTTTCCTTACTTCCCTCCTACAAACTGCAGTTCACCTATCAAGCATCACCCTCATCCCCTGAGCCCGAGACATCAATTTTTGGAATGGTTTTATTCATTTGAGCATCAGGACTCTAGCGGAAAAAGATTGGCTATATCAGAGAGAGACTTAGCCTTTTATAATGAGCTGCACATAAATAACTTCATTACTCTTGTCTGCAAACGAGAGTAGGGAGGGAACCCAGCAAAGAGCAACCTTTTCCCCTTGCAAAG